TCAGCAGGAGCTGGTGAACATTGAGCAAAATCGGGTTGCAGAGGAAGACGAGGACTTTGTGGTGGAAGAAGAGCGTGGTCCACGTCAAGAGGAATATGATGAACTGAAGCAGAAGTTAGATTTGTTGACCACGGAGCTGGATATGCTACGAACTGAGCACAGCAAGCTGCTAGAGACATATCTGTGCCTGAAAGAGACTGCAGATGATTCAGGTGACGGGGAAAAGGTCTGCGGTTTAAAGGAAGAGCTGCAATCAGTTCTGAGAGAAAAAACTGCAGGTCTCGTCGTCATGCAGGCCCAGGTACAAGCTCTGGAGCAGAGTGCAACATCCAGGGTGGAGGAGTTTAGGCTTCGCATACAGGAGCTTGAGGACTTGGTTAATGAAAAAGATAGCGAGTTAAGCCGCTGCCGTCTCCTTGTGGAGCAGACTCAAAGCTACGGAGATGGTCTCCAGCAGAAAGTCTCTGATCTGGAGTACAATCTCAGTGAAAAAATGGTTACTGCTCTAGTCAGCCAAGCCACATTGGAGGCTCTACAGCAGCAGGAAAATTTACCAGCATCCACAGAAGACCAGGATGTGCAGGAACATAAAGAATCAATTATGAAGTCCAACGTGGAGCTACAGAGTCAGGACTTTGGTGACTTTGGTATTCCTCGAATAGATTTCCGTGGACTGGGTCAAATCAGACAAGCTCCCACTGAAAAGGTGGTGCATTTGACACAGACACTAAGGGACTTAGAAGCTGGACTCAGTGGAATGCAGAAAGACCAAGAGATCCAAAAGCAGCTCCTGTCCAGTTCTGAGGAGGAGGTGGTCGAGTATGAGAGGAGGTTGGCAGCATGCATGGACCTGCTCAGTCAGATGAAGCCTGGCACTCAGCTGGAAACTTGGTATTCTGTAGAGGTAAGAGTGCAGAATTTGGACATGCAGCACTTCCTTCATTTTATAGAATGTCACCCTGTGTCCGTAGTCTGTAACAAAGTTAGTTCCATCCATTTGTTATATACCTAAATATGTGCAAAAGTTAAAAGGCTTTTTGCCTCTACTTCTAAAACTGACAAAACAGCTCTGATAAATCCAGATCTTTGTGATCTTTTTTCCAGAGCTCCTCTGCTGATGACCAGCACACTGTTTCTGAACTTCTTCAGGAGCTGGACCAGGTTAAAGGCGAGGCTTCAGCAGCCAAAGAGCAGCTGCACAGCTACAAGGAGAGCTGCAGCAGACTCCAGGAGGAGCTCCAAGTACGTCACATTACACTTCTGATCAAAGTAGTTTTTGTAAAGTTTCTTGTTTGGTGCTAAACAACTGTTTTTCTCTACAGGAAAAGAAGGTAACAATTCAGAATCTTGAGGGCCAACTTCAGCAGGTACGACATATATTGTTTTCAGAAGTGGTCAGTCCTGTTGTCTCTCCTGTCTAATGTTTGAAACATATTATTAAGGTGGCCACTGGTGGCTCTGAGGAAGTCCAGCTTCAACAAGAACTGGTGGACGCTCGTGATGAAGCAACGGCTACCAAAGAAGAACTCAACAGCTGCAAGGAGAGTTTGGAGAAGCTGCAGGAGCTGCTACAGGTACAAAAAGCAAAGTATTAAAAACAAAAGTACACTGTTGAGCACACCTACATTTTATTGATGATCTTTTTTACCTAAAGCACGGCCTTGTGTGTGTAAATATTTAAGATTAGGTGGTTGATGGTGGATTGGTTGTCATTAAATAAATTGGTCATAAACTTCAGGCACTTCAAATTACTATACTTGCATGGCTGCCTGTTTATGTTTCTGTTTTGAAATTAAAAAATATAACTATTATTATATGTTGTTTTGTTGTTATTTTTAGGAGCGGGAAATGACTATTGCCCACCTTAAAGGAGAACTTTTCCAAGTGAGATATATTTTCTATTTTATGACTTAAAACAAATGAATAAACTGACAACAAAGGACTAAGGATACAAATCTGCCTTTGTTTTTCTTCACCACCAGGTTAAATCTCTAGATGGCGCTGTTAGCACAGAACTGCTACAGGAGCTACAGGAGGTTCGGGACAGTTGGGCATCCACAAAGGAGGAACTCAACAGACGCAGGCAGCAGAATGAGAAACTGCAAGAGGAGCTTCAGGGTCAGGTGGCCTCCCTTTCTAAATTCAAGGAGGAGCAACTACAGCTTATGAAAGAGATGGACGCCACCAGAGAAGAACTCAGTGGCTACAAGATGCAGAATGAGAAACTGCAGGGAGAGCTGAAGTTCCATGAAAGTTCCTTCTCTAAGCTAGAGGAAGAGCCACAGCAGCTGATCAAAGAATTTGAGACAGCCAAGCAGGAACTCAGCAGGTACAAGCAGCAGACTGAAACACTGCAACAACAGCTGGAGGTCCAGGACCTTTCCAGCTTTAAGCTGAAGGAGGAGCTTCATCTTTTGATGAAAGACATGGAGACCAGCAAAGAAGAACTAAGACACTGCAGACAGCAGAATGAGAAACTGGAGGAGGAGCTCCAACTTCAGAAATTGTCTTTTTCTAAAGCTGAGGAAGAGCAGCAGAGACTTATGAAAGTTGTTGTTGACTCCAACAAAGGAGTAGTTAAAAGCAGCAAGCAACAGAGTGAGGAAGTGCAAGCAGAGTTGGAGGTCCTACAAGTAGAACCCCAGCACCTGATTCAAGAAATGGAATCAGCCCACGAGGTCACAGGCTCAAAGCAGCAGCATGAAAAACTGCAGTATGAGCTACAGGCTCGAGACATTTCCATTTCAAAACTCCAGCAGGAGCTCCAGCAGCTTGTGAAGGAGATGGACATCACTAAGGAGGAACTCACCAGCTACAGGCAGCAGAATGAGAAACTGCAAGAGGAGCTTCAGGGTCAGGTGGCCTCCCTTTCTAAATTCAAGGAGGAGCAACTACAGCTTATGAAAGAGATGGACGCCACCAGAGAAGAACTGAGTGGCTACAAGATGCAGAATGAGAAACTGCAGGGAGAGCTGAAGTTCCATGAAAGTTCCTTCTCTAAGCTAGAGGAAGAGCCACAGCAGCTGATCAAAGAATTTGAGACAGCCAAGCAGGAACTCAGCAGGTACAAGCAGCAGACTGAAACACTGCAACAACAGCTGGAGGTCCAGGACCTTTCCAGCTTTAAGCTGAAGGAGGAGCTTCATCTTTTGATGAAAGACATGGAGACCAGCAAAGAAGAACTAAGACACTGCAGACAGCAGAATGAGAAACTGGAGGAGGAGCTCCAACTTCAGAAATTGTCTTTTTCTAAAGCTGAGGAAGAGCAGCAGAGACTTATAATGAAAGATGTTAACTTCAACAAAGGAGTAGTTAAAAGCAGCAAGCAACAGAGTGAGGAAGTGCAAGCAGAGTTGGAGGTCCTACAAGTAGAACCCCAGCACCTGATTCAAGAAATGGAATCAGCCGACGAGGTCACAGGCTCAAAGCAGCAGCATGAAAAACTGCAGTATGAGCTACAGGCTCGAGACATTTCCATTTCAAAACTCCAGCAGGAGCTCCAGCAGCTTGTGAAGGAGATGGACATCACTAAGGAGGAACTCACCAGCTATAAGCAGCAGAATGAGAAACTGCAAGAGGAACTTCAGGTACAAGTGGTCTCTATGTCTGAACTCAGTGAGGGGAACCAGGAGCTAGTGGAAGAGATGGACACCACCAAAAAAGAACTTGACAGCTACAGGCAGCAGAAGGAGAAACTGCAAGAAGAGCTTCACAATCGTGAAATTTCCATTTCTAAACTTAAAGAGGAGCTGCAGCAACTGGAGCAGGAGATGGAAACTACAAAAGAAGAACTCACCAGCTACAGGACACAAAATAAGAAACCACAGGTAGAGCAGCAGGTGCAGGAATCTTCAGTTCCTGAGCTCAAAGTAGAGCCTGAACAGATGATTAAAGAAGTTCAAACAGCAATGGAGGTTTCCAGCAGCAACCAGCAGAATGAAAAACCACAGGAAGACCTCCGGATCCAGGATGTGCGCAATTCTGAACTCAGTCAGGACAACCAACATCTGTTGAAGGAGTTGGATACCACTAATGAAGAACTGACTAGGTACAGGGCACAGAATGAGGAGCTGCAGAAAGAGCTAGAAGAGCGGGAACTCTGCATTTCTAAACTGAAAGAGGAGCTGCAGCAGCTGGAGAAGGAGATGGCTACTACCAAGGAAGAACTCAGCAGTTTGAGGAAGCAAAATGAAAAACCACAAGAAGAGCTACAGGTGCAGCAACTTAAAGTAGAGGCTGGACCGAAAAAAGAAATTGATCCAGTGAAGGATGTTTCCAGCTGCAACCAGCAAAATGAAAAGCTGCAGGAGGAGCTCCAGGTCCAGGAAGTCCTAATTTCTAACCTCAATCATGAGCACCAACATCTAACAAAGCAGTTGGATACCACCAACGAAGAACTAACTAGGTACAGAACTCAGAACAAGGAACTGCAAGACGAGCTGCAAACACGAGAAACTTCCATTTCAAAACTTGAGGAAGAACATGAGCGGCTGATGAAGGAGCTGGACACCACCAAAGAAGAACTCAGCAGCTACAGACAGCAGAATGAAAAACTGCACGGTGAACTTCAGGTACAGGAACTTTCTATTCCCAAACTCAAAGAAGATCCCCAACAACTATTGACAGAGGTTGATACAGCAAATGAGGTCCGCAGTTACAAGGAGGAGAATGAAAAACTGCAGGAGGAGCTTCAGATCTATGAAGTTTCAGTTTCTAAGCTCAAGGAGGAGCGCCAGCTTCTGGCGAAGGAATTGGATACTACCAATGAGGAGCTGACTGCACATAGGATGCAGAATGAGAAACTTCAGGAAGAGCTGCATGCATGGGACATTTCCAATTCTAAACTCCAGGCGGAGTTCCAGCAGCTGATGGAGGAGCTGGACACCACCAAAGAAGAACTCAGTAGATACAAGCAGCAGAATGAGAAACTGCAAGAACAACTGCACGTCCAAGAACTTTCCATTTCCAAACCTACAGAGCCAACAGCAGTCGACACCACGCAGGATGAGGCCAGCAGCTACAGACAGAAAAATGAAAAATTACAGAAGATGCTGCAGGTCCAGGACATGTCCATCTCCAAACTCGAGGAGGAACTCCAGCAGCTTATAAGGAAAGAGAACTCCACCAAAGATGAGCTGAGCAGCTACAGGCAGCAGAATGAGAAGCTACAAGAAGAGCTGCACGTCCGTGATGTGTCCGTTTCAAAGCTCAAAGAGGAGCTGCAGCGGTTACAAACAGCACTGATGAAAACGGCAGACACTGGACTTGCATCTCCTTCTGTGTCTCTTCATCCACAGTCTTCAGCCTCTTCTTCCTCCACCACGCAGCCCAAGAGGAAAACATCCAAACAACCAGCCACCAAGGGAAGCAGTGCCAAAGACAAACCATCTCTATCCAAGAAGAACTCTTCCTCTTCCAGTCAATCTTCCTACAAATCCCACAGCTCTCGGCAGAACAGCAGCTCTGAACAGCAACATTTGGTTGTAACAGATTCATTCACACAGACAGAACCTCTGCAGATGTCTGATCTCAGCCTGGACGGGACATCCATCACCAAAGAGGAAATGAACGAGGTAATCGGTGACTTCCAAGAGAAGATTGTGCAGATGCAGGAGCTCCACGCTGCAGAAATCCTGGACATGGAGGCACGGCATATTTCAGAGAGTGAAAACCTGCGGAGGGACACACATGCACTGGAGGATGAGTGCAAAGCCCTGAAGGCTGTCATTGACAAGCTGCGCTCCTCTGAGGCTCCTGTGTCAAGACAAGACCGTCCTATATCACTGTTCAGAGATGGATACACCAGTGGTAAGAACGTTCTGTTAGTTTGACAGGATCTTCTCTGATCACACCTTCATAGTTTTATTTGTTTTAACTTTTAAGATTATCCAGTATTCTGAAGATATTCATTTTATTTTGTTTTTACTTCTGTGCTCTCGCAGACAGCAGCTCAGACTACAGCCAGAGGACTGGATACGAGCTACCCAGCTTGCAGCAGGAGTTTAGGACGACTCCAGAGGGTGCCAGGAGAGAAACTGACGATCCTATGCCTGATCGCATCAAAGTACGACTTTTACTTACTATAATTATCACATAGATGATCGGGAAAAGAATGAAAAAAATTCCAGGGATATTTCTCAATGTGGCTCGTATTTCTGTTTAGATGTTGCTTCGGGAGGTGCACCAGGAAGGAATGCAGGTTCTGTCTCTGTCTGAACTTCCGCTCTCTGAAGGCATGTCAAGCAACCAGTTCAACATCCAGGGCTGGATGAAAGAACGAGATGCTCTGCTGGATACTGTGGAGTCTCTCAAAGGTCTCATCACTCAGATGAAGACAAACATAGAGACACAGGTAAAGTGAAAAATCCTCCGATGATGTTCAACTAAATTTAAAACATTTGACTTAACGAAGCCAGGATGAGTCACGGTGTCTTTTCCTCGTGACTCTGACTTGAATGCAGACATCAGAGGGTGTGGACTGGCGCTCACAGCTCCTGGACGCAGTGAGGCAGGTGTTTCTGAAGGAGCGAAGTGTGTTGAAGAACACGCTCTACAGCCAGCTGGACCTGTTGGACACCAGTGATGCCATCATCCACCTGAATCAGCTGGAGCGCAGACTGGCTGAGCAGGTCAGTAGTACTGGACTGTAGTGTCGTAGTGTTTTTACATTACATTATTATTTCAAAACATTTGTTTTAAAAAAAAATCCCTTTTTTTCCACAGGACGCTCAGCACAGAGATGCCATGAGTTCACTTCACACTGCAGAGAGATCCAGTCTAATCTCTGAGATTCATCAGCTTCGTGGTCAGTTAGAGCAACTCCATCATGGTACACACAAGTCTATCTTTATTTTTTTTTATTTTCATGAATTGCCTTTTTTCTTTAGTTGTTTTTTGTCAAAAAATAAGTTTTCTCTGGTTGTCTCTCAGGTGACCAGTCCACAATGGCTTTAGCTGCTGACTGTAGCAGGAGGGAGCAGAGGGATGGAAGAGGAGGAGAAACTGACAGACTGCTGGTGGAGGAGCTGAAGTGTGAGCTGTCTCAAACTAAATTAGAGCTTGAGACATCGTTGAAGTCTCAGCACAAACACCTGAAAGAGCTGGACACACTGAGGTTAGAAATGTTTGATACATGGATAAAATCATTTTTTTGGAATTAATTCATTAATTTCATTTGACATTGACATAAAAAATATCCTAATTTATGTCAATAAGTTGATAAGAGAGACTTTAATTAAAAATGAGAGCATGAGCGGCACACACATACTCCTGTCACATTACTGCCACCTACTGGTGAAAGTTAATTACCCACAATTCTTCCTTTAGTCCTTTTTTCTAAATAATAATAATTGGTGATGCCAAGGTTCTTCAGTTTATTCATAAATTAATTTTAAATGCCTCGATACACTCTCATTGCTCTTTTTACTTCCCCCTTCTGGTCCTTTTTACCTTTTGTCAACATTTCCCTAAGCTTTTATGTTAATGTCTTCTCTCCATTCCAGTATTGCTGCCAAACTTTTCTATCAAATTTTATTTTTTTCAACTTTAGAATCTTTACATTCACATCCACACTTGTTGCCTTTTAACAAAAGAATTATGGAGATCAGAAACAGACTTCGAGTCAGTCTTTGATGCTTTTAATACTTTAATGCTGTAACAAGAAAGGCACACAGTGGAGTCACAGCCCCACTTCAGAGTGGAAGCAGACTTGTGCTTATTATTATTTACTCCCCTGCAGGGCAGAGGTATCACAGAAAGCTGCTGAAGCTGAGGCCCTCAGTGACCAGCTGACAGACGAGAGGAAGAAGAGCAGAGATCTTCAGTGGGTCATGGAGAAGGAGAAGTGTCGCTCTGGGAGAACTGAGGAGAGCAAGCAAGAAGAGCTGGAGGTACGAGTGGAGTCATGTGTTCATTTACGAATTTCTGATTATTGTATTTACTTGTATAACTCTTGTAACACAGTTAATGTTTAAAAATCTATTGCTATTTTAATTTTAGGACCTTCAAATTAGTCTGGAGGAGCAGAAGACTCGCGTGGCCCAGCTGACCTTGACCCTAGAACAGGAGCGCGAGGCCTCGTCCCAGCTCGCCCAACAGTCTGAGCAGGAGTGCCTGATGCTCCAGAGAAATCTGCAGGAGCTTCAGGTCCAGTTGGAAACAGAACGAGCCAAGGCCCAGGAGATCAGCAGTGCACTGGGTCGAGAGAGGGAGCTGCGGACAGGAGCTTCCTTTGACAACAGCTCTTCAAATGAGCCTACTGCTGAAAAAGAGAGAATGGAGGCCGAAGAGGACGGAAGTCTGCTGGATAGACTGCAGAAGGAGCTGGATGACAAACACGCACAGGTGGGACAGGGTTTGTGCTTTTGGCAGTAAAAACACACACACTTTCAGTCTAGACTTTAGAGTTGATGCAGTATGAAAACAAATTTTATTGATTAAATTTTTTTTTCAGGTGGTGCATCTGCTCAGTCAGGTGGAGGCTCAGAAGCTGGAGGTGGTGCGAAAAGAGGGAGAGCTGAATTTGGTGAACCCAAGGTGGAAACGTGACCAGGAGGCCCTGCTGGAGGCACAAGATCAGCTGCAGGAGTTAGGAGCTCAGCTGTCAGAAACTCAGAAGCAGCTGGAGATGGAGATGAAGAGGAGGAGGAGTGTGGAAGAGGAGAAGGAAAGACTGGAGGAGAGGTTAGCTCGTGTGGCGGAGCTGAGAGGACAAACCCAGGTTGGTAGAGTTCAGTGTAGGTTCCCACAGTTTTTTTAGGTCTCAGAGACTGAACTCAGAAGTACATGAAGACATCGTGTGTGTTTTTGTCTCCACAGCCATCTCCAGGGCAGAGAGACTCCACCGACCGCACCACAGACTGGGTTTACCAGCACAAGTACGGAGACCTTCAGTCTCCCATCTCCAGCATTTCTCCAACGCTGACAACCTCCCCAGCAGCTCACACCAGTGGACAACACTCTGGTCCCTGGTCCACGGTGGACAAAATTGTGAACAAGCTTCACCTCATATCCTCAAAGATCCATCACATGTCAACACAAAGTCCTGGCAGGTAAATTAGTCAGGAAGTAAAATGAAAATTTGTCTTCAAAGTGAAGAGGCAAACCCAAACATTTTAACTTACTCTCTTTACTTACAGAGGCAAAATGATGCTTTTGTTGCTCAATGTTCAACATGGAGGCAATGACAATGTGCATCAGTTTATTTTAGCTACAAAACAGTTATGTTAATATAAAATTCCATGAACTATTTTATATTTTTTAGTTCATTTTTACATTTCTGTATGTGTTGCAAACAGGGCGACTGCAGAAGTGGACAAAGAAGAGTTGTCCTGGGTGCTGTCACATATGGAGGAGGTCATCAGAATGCTGCAGCAGTTCCCAGCGCTGCCGTCCATGCCCGAGGTGAGTCTGAAATGTTCATAAATCTGTGGGGCAGGCTTTTCTTTTCAACGTTAATGCTTAGGTTTAACGATTTGGAATTTGAATTTACATATTCTATTGTATCTGTTCAGCACTTCTGTTTCAATTTTGCTGTTTTAACTTTTTGATGATAAGAGACTTAGATACGTTTCACACTCACAGACTATTGGTCTTAAACTAATCCTATCCTTTGTACGTGTGTTGTTGTTTTTTTTAACATTTCTGACCTTGTGTGTGTTTTCCCTCAGAGTCTGCCCCTGGTGGCAGCCGCCTCCTCCAGCTCCTGCAACTCTCTGGCTGAACGGCTGCATTCTTCCTTTAGTCCTTTTTTCTAAATAATAATAATTGGTGATGCCAAGGTTCTTCAGTTTATTCATAAATTAATTTTAAATGCCTCGATACACTCTCATTGCTCTTTTTACTTCCCCCTTCTGGTCCTTTTTACCTTTTGTCAACATTTCCCTAAGCTTTTATGTTAATGTCTTCTCTCCATTCCAGTATTGCTGCCAAACTTTTCTATCAAATTTTATTTTTTTCAACTTTAGAATCTTTACATTCACATCCACACTTGTTGCCTTTTAACAAAAGAATTATGGAGATCAGAAACAGACTTCGAGTCAGTCTTTGATGCTTTTAATACTTTAATGCTGTAACAAGAAAGGCACACAGTGGAGTCACAGCCCCACTTCAGAGTGGAAGCAGACTTGTGCTTATTATTATTTACTCCCCTGCAGGGCAGAGGTATCACAGAAAGCTGCTGAAGCTGAGGCCCTCAGTGACCAGCTGACAGACGAGAGGAAGAAGAGCAGAGATCTTCAGTGGGTCATGGAGAAGGAGAAGTGTCGCTCTGGGAGAACTGAGGAGAGCAAGCAAGAAGAGCTGGAGGTACGAGTGGAGTCATGTGTTCATTTACGAATTTCTGATTATTGTATTTACTTGTATAACTCTTGTAACACAGTTAATGTTTAAAAATCTATTGCTATTTTAATTTTAGGACCTTCAAATTAGTCTGGAGGAGCAGAAGACTCGCGTGGCCCAGCTGACCTTGACCCTAGAACAGGAGCGCGAGGCCTCGTCCCAGCTCGCCCAACAGTCTGAGCAGGAGTGCCTGATGCTCCAGAGAAATCTGCAGGAGCTTCAGGTCCAGTTGGAAACAGAACGAGCCAAGGCCCAGGAGATCAGCAGTGCACTGGGTCGAGAGAGGGAGCTGCGGACAGGAGCTTCCTTTGACAACAGCTCTTCAAATGAGCCTACTGCTGAAAAAGAGAGAATGGAGGCCGAAGAGGACGGAAGTCTGCTGGATAGACTGCAGAAGGAGCTGGATGACAAACACGCACAGGTGGGACAGGGTTTGTGCTTTTGGCAGTAAAAACACACACACTTTCAGTCTAGACTTTAGAGTTGATGCAGTATGAAAACAAATTTTATTGATTAAATTTTTTTTTCAGGTGGTGCATCTGCTCAGTCAGGTGGAGGCTCAGAAGCTGGAGGTGGTGCGAAAAGAGGGAGAGCTGAATTTGGTGAACCCAAGGTGGAAACGTGACCAGGAGGCCCTGCTGGAGGCACAAGATCAGCTGCAGGAGTTAGGAGCTCAGCTGTCAGAAACTCAGAAGCAGCTGGAGATGGAGATGAAGAGGAGGAGGAGTGTGGAAGAGGAGAAGGAAAGACTGGAGGAGAGGTTAGCTCGTGTGGCGGAGCTGAGAGGACAAACCCAGGTTGGTAGAGTTCAGTGTAGGTTCCCACAGTTTTTTTAGGTCTCAGAGACTGAACTCAGAAGTACATGAAGACATCGTGTGTGTTTTTGTCTCCACAGCCATCTCCAGGGCAGAGAGACTCCACCGACCGCACCACAGACTGGGTTTACCAGCACAAGTACGGAGACCTTCAGTCTCCCATCTCCAGCATTTCTCCAACGCTGACAACCTCCCCAGCAGCTCACACCAGTGGACAACACTCTGGTCCCTGGTCCACGGTGGACAAAATTGTGAACAAGCTTCACCTCATATCCTCAAAGATCCATCACATGTCAACACAAAGTCCTGGCAGGTAAATTAGTCAGGAAGTAAAATGAAAATTTGTCTTCAAAGTGAAGAGGCAAACCCAAACATTTTAACTTACTCTCTTTACTTACAGAGGCAAAATGATGCTTTTGTTGCTCAATGTTCAACATGGAGGCAATGACAATGTGCATCAGTTTATTTTAGCTACAAAACAGTTATGTTAATATAAAATTCCATGAACTATTTTATATTTTTTAGTTCATTTTTACATTTCTGTATGTGTTGCAAACAGGGCGACTGCAGAAGTGGACAAAGAAGAGTTGTCCTGGGTGCTGTCACATATGGAGGAGGTCATCAGAATGCTGCAGCAGTTCCCAGCGCTGCCGTCCATGCCCGAGGTGAGTCTGAAATGTTCATAAATCTGTGGGGCAGGCTTTTCTTTTCAACGTTAATGCTTAGGTTTAACGATTTGGAATTTGAATTTACATATTCTATTGTATCTGTTCAGCACTTCTGTTTCAATTTTGCTGTTTTAACTTTTTGATGATAAGAGACTTAGATACGTTTCACACTCACAGACTATTGGTCTTAAACTAATCCTATCCTTTGTACGTGTGTTGTTGTTTTTTTTAACATTTCTGACCTTGTGTGTGTTTTCCCTCAGAGTCTGCCCCTGGTGGCAGCCGCCTCCTCCAGCTCCTGCAACTCTCTGGCTGAACGGCTGCTGAGGCAGAATGCTGAGCTCACAGGTTTCGTCAGCCGCCTGACTGAAGAGAAGAACGATCTTCGAAACCAAGTCCTTCGCTTGGAAGAAGAGTTGCGGCATTCCAGGAAGTCTGTGTTGGGATCAGGAGACAGCGTGAGTACATGATAATTAACGGCTGAAACAGGAAGTAGCACTGAAATGCTCTGTCAGTAGAGTAGATATAACATTTAGTGAAAGTAAGCTTTATTTAATGAAGCTTTTTGAAATGTCCTCCTGCAGTCCTACAGTCGGAGAGCACTTTCAAAGGTGGACTCAAACACCTTGCTACTCTCCCATGAGCGGGAGTCATGGGCTCGGGAGAAGAGCTCTCTGGAGAAGGCTTTACAAGTTGCCCAGTCCCAGGTGGCCCGACTCAGGGCTGAGATCAGATCTGACACTCTGCGAGAGATAACTGGACCAGAGGGTGACAACACTGCCCTGAAGGTAACCAACTAACATCTGCTCCTAAAAATCACAGGAGTTCAGTTTGCACCTTTAAATATTTATTGACATTAATGGTGGTTTGTCCAAATACAGAGGATGTATGGAAGGTACCTGAGGTCAGAAAGCTTCCGAAAAGCACTTATCTACCAGAAAAAGTATCTCCTGTTACTACTGGGCGGCTTCCAAGAGTGTGAGGAAGCCACGCTGTCACTGCTGTCCAGGATGGGTGGCCGGCCGTCTCTGTCCAGCCTGGACTCTTACAGCCAGCGCCGAGGGGGGCTGATGCGCTTCCGCTCTGCTGTCCGAGTCTCTATCGCCCTCTCCAGGTAGACGCAATTAATCTATTTAACAACACATTTTTTAAATAATCCTAAAGACTTTGTTTTTACTAATTTTTTTCTTTCATAATAGAATGCGTTACTTAGTGAGGCGATGGCACAAGGCGACAGGGATGATCTCCTCACCCTCCTACAGTCTGAGCAAGAATGGAACCACACACACCTTAGGTAACAATACATGTTTGGAACATTTTTCCAGGATTAAAAAGGTCATATTTTTGGGTGTTGATATGAACGTTCAATGTTTTTACCCCTATTTCTTTAGGTACGGATATGAGAGATTCACCTTATCTTCACCCAGGCAGTGTAGAGATGTACAGAGAGAAAAGCGGTGAACGAGGAGGAGGAGGAGTTTCCAGCAGCAGGGGGAGAAGTGGACGAGAGTCACCACGATCTGCTGTCTCTTCAACACACCACAGGTTTAATAAACATGACTGCAACTTAAGAGTGCTAATTCCACTTCTAACATAGGTGGTGATATTAAAAACAAAGACGTTTAATTTCACAGATTTCACATGGCTGGAGACCACGGACCTCTGACCTGCTCCCACCTGCAGAGCTACGACCCAGACCGAGCACTCACCGACTACATCTCCAGACTGGAGGCTCTGCAGAGGAGGCTGGGTAGTGTGACATCAGGTAACACATGCAGTGGAGGGGGTTTAAGTCAGGTCCGAACAGTAATGGTGGATTTAGGACAAAACAAAAAGTAAATTAAAAGTCTACATACTCGGCCACTGAAACATGGCTAGACTTCTTCCAATGTTAGCATAGTTAATAAATAAATTGCTTAAAAAATAGCTAATAGTTGGACCAGGCATAGATTAGAAAGTGTGAAAAAACAAACATAGAAGTGGCCAAGGATTTCAATGTTTTTTTGTCTGATGTTGACATTTTTAAATTGAGTTTTTTTCCTCAGGTGCTTCTTCATACACTCATTTGCACTATGGCTTGAGAAGATAGATGGCGCTGACACCTTAACTGTTGCTTGAAGAAACTCAGTTGCCTTTTTCTCGTGCTGAGCGCTCTGCTGTTTTCTATCTTTCTGCTGTGGAGTATTTATCTTTATGTGGACCAAAAAAGACACAACAACACATTTTTAATAATTAATAAGTGTACCATTTGTGTATTCAGGCTTTGTTTTCTGTTTTTGTCGCCAGCACATGAAAAAACAGCTTCGTTTGTATGTAATGAAATCTGCCTCTCTGTTGTGGATGATCTACAATCCTGTATATTTGTTTGTTGCTAATTTAAGACCTTGCGATTAATTTATGTTTTTTGTGTGTCGTATGGGAGAATGTTTGGGTTTACTGTTCAGGAGGCTGCTACTGGAAAATATCCTACACTACACTGTGTTTTGTTTAGGCCAGACTGACTACAGAGGACATTTGTAGAGAATGTATTTTTGTAAAAAAATAAAACAAGAACATTAAATAGCATAGGAGCTTTGAATTTTCTGGGTATTTTGTCAAAAACTGAAATAAAGAGGATCGCATTGTTTAAAGGACTTCAGCCTCTGTCTTGAATTTGCGACGGACCAACTCCACTGCCTCTGGAAGTAGATCTCCTCATTTTAAAAGGTAAGAGATTCTTTTTAATGTTTGCTAAAATGATGTTGCTACTAACAATGATGTTTTTTCTGATTAGAAATTGGACATTAGAAGGAGTCGATCAGATGCATCCAAAGTCCAGACTGCGGACCAGTTGTGGCGCCTGGGCAGAGCGTGTGTGGTTGTAAGCTTCTTTTTTTTTTTTAAATGTGTTTTTTGTATCCCAGAAATCACAACAAATGGTATTTAAAAATTAATTTCTTTAATTTTCTGGTATAATACAGGTTCTTGGAACAATATCTGCATTTTCTTTGCCTGGAAAAACTTTAAACACAAGGTGGAGATGTTATAAAAACCAACACAACGAATCAAACATTTCTGATAAGCACAATAACTAATAATTTACTGTCACAGGATCAAACCAGGGAACCTGGGGAGAGGCTGATGCTTGGCTTAACATGACAGGTTGTAAATATCATTTTCCTCCCAATCTCACTTATCTCTCTCACAGTAACGTCACTAGACTTAAACCTCAGCAGAAATTATTTAATCAGTTGACATTTAAATGTCTCAGAGGGACAGCAGACACGTGTGGTCCACTTCAGGTGCTGATCAGTTTGATGGTTTTTTTGTACAAAAAGTGCAACTTTCGGCAAACCTACCACAAGATGACCCAAATGTGTTCAAGTCAATATGTACAACCTTCAGCCCATTCAAATAGTGGCCTGTTTCTGTCCAAATTGTATTAGCTGTTGGACTGATTTTGCTGAATTTCTTAGTGTGAAAATCTGAATTCATCATTGATTAGCCCTGTATTACATCATCGTTCTAATGACTTCCTTTACAGTGTTTTCTGTCAGTCATGTGATGATGATGTGGATGTGAAGCCTAATTTATGGGCAGAAATTTCTGATATTATACAAACTATTGACACATATGTCATTTTCCATAGTATTAAACTAAATTGACCCTGCTTCATGTAAAGAATTCACACCGTGAATATGAACATGAAAAGTTCATGTCAGAGTCAAACAGCTGCTGTGTTTTACCTGAAAACACAGGTTGGTGTAGAGGAGGCTCATCCAGATCTAATTATAGAAATTTGTGTTAGAAAGTGAAGTTTTGTTTTTTATTTTTACACGGAGCAGCAGTGAGTGAGTGTTTAAATCCCAGGTAGATGAACATCCACCTTCACTTCTTCTCTCTACTGTCCCTCACTGTTTCCTCCTCTTGTATCTGATGATGGGGTTGTGTGGTGTGTGGATCATGGTGGTGTAGTTGATGGTGGGGAAATATCCGTCCACCAGATCGAAGTCATACAAACGCAGTATTGTGGACCAGATGGTCTTGATCTGGACGTAGGCAAAGTTCTCTCCAATGCAGCGATGACGACCTGGGAAGTAGAGGCAAAATGATCAGTTTGATTCGTCGAAAGTTTGTGTCTTTTTTTAAATTATTTTTTAAGTAAATATTCTCCCACCTGCTCCGAATGGTATGTAGGCGAATTTCTCTCCTGCAGATGGGTTGTCATTCAGATAGCGATCAGGGTTGAACTCCATCCTCTCCACCCAGGTGTCGTGCAGTCGGTGGTTGACAGTCGGAGATACACAGACCTGGTGACCCACAGGGATGGTGTAACCTGCTGAGGTCTGAGAGGGGAAAGATAAGAGTTTGAGGTTTTATAGCCAGTTCTTACGGTCATAAAATTCTTGTCTGCGTGGACTGACCTGAACAGTGCGAGCCATCCTCATCATGGTCATGATGGGCGGACGCAGACGAAGGGTCTCCTTCAGACAACGATCCAACAAGCTCAGATCTTTCAGCTGGAAACAAAAATGGAAAAAAAATTGTGTTAATTTTAGTGCATAATATAAAATGATAGTTATCGTGTTTTGTTATTTGTGTAAATGCCCTCACACACACACACACACACACACACACACACACAACTGTGGTCCAAAAAATGTTAGGGAATAATTTCAGCTAAAGCTGTAACTTTATGTAACATTAATGGTATGATATGTGATACAAAACTTCACCAGCTTAAATTCAATGTTGCACTGATGTTACTTTGTAATTCATTTCTACCATATCAAAGTCCAGCGGGGGCAGATCTTCCCCACACACAGCCTTCTGCTCAGCGTAGCAGCGTTCCTGCAGAGTTCGGTCTCTGGCCAGGAAGAAGCCCATCCAGGAGCTGGTGGTGGAGGAGGTGTGCTGACCGGCCAGGAGGAGACCGATCAACATCCCTGCTATCTCATCGTCCGTCAGTGGGCGTCCATCTCTAACAGTGACACACAGTCGGTATGAGAGGTTGTCAGTCAGTTTGTCGGTGATGAATACTACACTGTGCAGACTTTTACTGCAGTTTTACTGTTCATTAGCAGCATGGTTACTACTCTAAATGTGCTTGTCCGTCCTGGAGGTTTCTTACTTATACGTGGCATCAATCAGCGTCTGCAGCATGTCGTCCACTTTCTCTCCAGATCTCCTACGTTTCTGAATCACCTTGTAGAAAATGTTCTTAATCTCTCGGTGAGCTTTGTCCCTTTTCCTGAAAAAACAAATGTTAAACAATTGTTTGTGACCAATTTTCCATCTTCTGTTGCATTAAATATTTCAGCTTGATTCCTCTAGATGCCATTTTAACAAAATTGTTGTTTTCGCAGGGATACAGTACCTGAAGCTGGGCAGAGGCAGCCAGCCGGGCAGCAGCCAGGCAGCGTGGCTGAAGCCGCCGTCCAAGTCGGCGTAGAGCTGGGCCACCCGCTCATCCAGCATGCTGCGGATCTCCATCCCGTGGAGGCAGCTGCTGGCTGTCAGGATGATCAGCTCAGCCAAAGCCTCAAACAGGTCTGATGCAGACAGAGGGTCGGTCAGTACAGAAAACATAGTCGCAACACTTTTTATGACTGGCTCTTCAAAACAAAAGATCTTACTCCTCTCTCCGCTCTCTCCCCATCTCTCAAAATACTCAATGGTCTCTGCCTCGATGATCCTCACATGTTCTCTGAAATGTGCAATGTTCAGTCCTGTCTTCAGCATCTTCTTTTGCTCCAGGAAGATCTGCAAAGAGTGTGGAGGAATCAATTTTTTTCAGACAGTTACTCTTTCCTATCGTTCCAGTGTGGACTGATTCCAGCACATCCGAGTGACTCACAGGATTGGGGACATCATAGGCCACTCCTCTGCCAAACACTGGAGTGGTCAGTTTGGAGTAAACATCCTCAGCGTTCAGGTCTTCATTCTTGCTGTTAAACATGAGTGTGGCTGCTTCGCTGCCCAGAAGGTAGGTGAAGGTTTTCCCCACCATGGTGAAACTGAACACTGGGCCGTACTGTGAGAGGGAGGGTGACGTGCAAGATTTTTACAAGTTGCTTGGAACTCGAAATTAAACAATGAAAGATTAGGATAACACACATTTATTAAGTATTTCTGTTGCTACATAAACGCTTAGTAATAAAATGTAAATAAAACTTCCATGTACACTCTAAATATGTTCGCTGCAAAATTATAACCATTACTGGCAAATTCTATTTTCACATGCACATAATTGATTCCTGGTTTGATTTTATAGCTTCTATCACTTACTTTTTCATAAGCATGCTCAAGAAATTCAATGGGACTTTTCCCAAATGCAATGGCATGACCCAGGAAGGGGATGTTGGACGGAATATAAGGAGGATAGTTCTGGGGGGAAAAACACGCAATGGATAACATGTAAATAGCAAATCAGAAAACAATGGATAACATGTAAATAGCAAATCAGCATAAGCAACATTTCTGGTACTGTTTTTTTTATGCTTACTCACCAGGTTCGGGTCAGACGACTGTTTGAGCAGCAGTTTGGAGACATATCCCAGTGTGAGGGTGATGAGGGAGGCTGCCAGAACCACAGAAGTCAGGTTGTCTTTTACGGTGTCTCCGAGCAGTTTGCTGCTCATCTGATATAAGTGCATCGACATGTTAGCAATGTTTTCATCCAGCTATCAATCGGCAGCTCAGGTTTCTAAAATTAATCCTTGAATCTTTAAGCAGACCAGTTTAAGTCCCTCAAACTTGTAACAGTGCGGCACAGTTGATAATATCCCACCAACATCCCTACCTGTCAACACTCGTCCTGCCCCCGCCTGATAACAGAGGATTTCTATTGGCTGCACCAGCCAGACCCTAGCGTGTCTGTCAAGTAACGACGACTATGATTGGCTGATGATACCTGGACCCATGTCTGCTTATTTGACGTCACACCCGGTGGCAGGAGCAGCATCGATTTAAAAGACCTTTTTAATGTCGTTTTTCACCGAATTAAACGCTTTAGAATTAGTATTTTCTTCTTCTTCTCAAGTAAAGGTAAAAAGTTACTGAGTAACGTTACTTTATTAACAGTGGTTGCGAAATATAGTGTGAAAAGGTCTAGAGGATATAAATGCAATCTGTTTTATTTAAACAGCAAAATTAAATGCTATAACCAAATAAAACATTTCAACATATAACATTTAAATCATTTAATATAATGTCTCATTTCAGTGCAGACCATCCCGTATGAAAAGACAATATTTCAAAGTGTCACTATTGTCTTAGCCAGCTATATTGCCATTAAGAATGAACAGCGAGGATCTTTTTTGGTGAAACTACTCTATATCCTTCAATATAATAAAATACAATATCCTAAAAAGTGATGCAATTGTCTTGAAATAAAAAAATAAAGCAAGAAAATACAATATCCTAAAAAGTGAGGCAATTGTCTTGAAATAAAAAAAGAAAGTTCATCTTTACATCAGTAAGTTTATTAAAACAAAATTAAATTATCAGTTCATCTTTACATCAGTCAGTTTATTAAAACAAAATTAAATTATCAATGTATTTACATGCAATGAAAATATATGAGCTGTCAAATGAACTGTGTGGCTGGTATGACATTGATGTGCTGTATTTTAGAAAATGAGGTGTGGGTTGGTCGATGACTATCCAGAGTTATTGTGGTTGATGAAAAACATTAGGAACTGAGGATCTGAACTGAGCTCTTTGGCAGCTGCGATCATGTCAACGGTCCTCAGCCATAGGCGTATTTGTCCATAACAGCTTTATCGTTTGCAGTTATCTGTCCACTCAGCTTCATCAAGAGCTTCACAATAAGGCCAGCCTGTGAAAGAACAGATACGACGTACAATGAAAAATGTTTGCCCTTAAATGATAAAGCTTTGTAAATGTCTGTAAGCCTCAGCAGTTACCTGTTTGGTGTGTACAATGAAGTTCATTTTGTTGTCACCGCTGTGTATCTGGAAGTACTGGTCAGCATGTCCAAGCTGCCACATGAAGGTGCTGTACTCTAAACTGATGAGAAGAACCTAGGGAGGAAGAGGTTTAATTTATTAGATTATAATACATCTACAGTACATGTTGTTCTGTAAGTGACCTAGTAAGTTGGTCCAAGATGGCTGAAAGTTGGAATACAAATATAGAAAATAACAGAATAACGCATAATACTGTATAATTTTAAAAAATGGCATTTATCTGAAGTTGAAAGTACCTTGGTCTCCATATTCATAAGATGCAGTCCCTTTGTGTTGACCCCGACGTAGACACGGATGACTTTGTGGTTACTGGCACTGGCCTTGGTGTAGACCTGCCCTGTAAAGAAAGCTGCTCCATAGGTGGGGATTTCCCAGCAGTTCTGCAGGAAGAGTCGCTGGAGGTGGTGCATCTCTTTACTCACTCCTTCACTGGTGCTCAAGGCCTGTTGGAACAGGATAGCAAAAAAAAGCTTGAGTGACAATGAAACCAAAACATGAAGTGGTTTTCCAGTGAACAATTCCTGACATACTTTGTATTCATGCAGAATCCTGTTGGTCCAGTGGTACGCTTTGCTTTTCACCTTTGATATCGGCACGATTGACTTCAGATTCTCCTCACTGTTGGAAATTAATGAATTTTTGTTTGTGCTTTTAAACAGCAATACAACTCAGAGCAAATGTCTGCAAACATTTTAAAGGTAAACCAAAACTTTGTTTAAAAACCGTGTGTTTTTTTTACTTGAGGAACCCTTGTTTGTGCTTCTTGCTCTCATAGCTGCCATAGATGATCTGCAGGAGAAGGCTGGCCAAAGTGATGAGTTTACTGTCAGGGGCTGGGAAGAAGCCCTTCAGGAGGCAGTGCCGGGCTTCATCGAAGAGGATGAGGATGGCCAGAGGATCATCCACCTGGAGAACAAGAAACATATCAAATAGTAAGAAAGTTGTGAGTTTGATAGATGGCCTGCTGTAAGGATCAGTCTGTATAAAACTGGCCTTTTTCTCCACTTCTAGAGGCAGACGGACGTCTCTGCGCAGGAAGAGCTGAGGGGTTTCCCTTTCAGGATCCAGCACCGTAAGGTCAGTCACAATTTCATTCCAGATCCGCAGGTGCTGCAGGGGCTTATGGTAGGGCTTCAGCTGCAAGTCTGAAACACAATACACCCATGTGCAACGTGATATTTCCTCCTATTGTGTTGGGCTGTGGCTGGTTTCATTGACCTAGGAAGGAGTGAGAGCTTACGCAGGTTCTCAGAGCAGATCCAGATGGTGAAGTATTGCTGGGTCTCCTGAGAAAGTCTCATGCCCTCCATGATCTGCTGTACCGTCGTGTTGTTGCCGTGCTTTAGCTCCACAGAGCGATATGAACCGTCCATGCGGTAGATGCGCACCTTCTCATACTGTGGAAAATACACAGATATAAGTCACACGTTCTTCACTCCTTTTCTATATGCACCGATTTTATGTCATGTATATTCACACAGAATCATGACTTCTCTGAACCAGATCAGCAGCTGTAATGGAAGCTACCATCCAGACAGGGCTAATTACATGTGTGTCAGATAAACAATGACAGCCTCTGAACTTGAACTCACTGGTTTGCTGTTAGCCTGCTGCAGCAGCTTCATCGTCTCTTCCCATTCGTTCTGTTTATTCTCCTCACACACTTGGAGAGGTGTTTTCTTCTGCTGGTCTTCTATATGCTGTGTGAGGAGAACACTGTTGACTGTCCACTAAAAGTTATTAGGACATTTACTGCTTCTGAACTTTTCTAAACAAGGACACACATATAAATACATAATAATAAATTCCAGTGCAACACATAGTAGTTACTTGTAAATTAAGAATACACCTTAATTTAATGATGTAAATTATTAAAATGTTTCAAGGCTGTTATTTGTTGTCATTATGTATGGTGTGAAAGAATGAATGAGTTAACCCTCATATGGAGTGTGAACACCTGAAATAGACCACAGACAGTAACAGTATTGTTGATTTGCTGTTCAGACATGTAAATATATTTTCACTGCAGTCTGAAATATTAATAGTAGTACCAAGTAGTATTGTGTTTCATACCCGATCGATCTCAGAGTGCTGCAGCAGCAGTTGGACTATCTCTACATGGCCTCCTCTGGCTGCAAAGTGCAAAGGTGAGCTGAGCTGGCC